AATCCCACCTGCCCCCAATCACTCCCACAGATGTTGCCTATCCCCCTGATCCCTCCCACAGACTCCTTTGGTCCCCTCAATACCTCCCACAGACTCTGCTCCTCTCCCACCCTGGGAACGTGATTCCTTCTGAAGACGCCCAATCTCCCTGATTCCCCCATGGATGTTGCCCCCCGATTCCCTGATCCCTCCCCCCCCACAGACACTGCTAATTCCCCCAACCTCCCATAGATGCTGCTTACCCCTCTGATTCCCCCACAGATGCCCCATTCACCTCCAGAGCTTATTCGCCCCCCAATCACCCTAACCCCTCCCTGCTAGACCCCTCTCTACTTATCTGAGATCAGGTGACCACATTTAATTCAATCTAACCTCCCCCTAACCTCCTTGAATGCCTGTACTCAGCCTTTGAGAACCAATTTATGATAAATTAATATAATGAAATAATATTATAAGTCTTGGCTCCTATAGTCACTGAAGTTATGATCATTGTACTATTACTAGCTAAGAGTAACATTTGTCAAAGCCTCTTCTCATAAATGATCAAATTAGGTATTTTGAAACATTCATAATATCCATGAAATTTCATTAAACACAAAATGTTTCCAAATCTATTTTTATTTAGATCCAATTTTCCTTTTTTATATTGTGTCCCTCAAGTTCTATGACAAAATTAACACTACATGCTCACAGAATTTGCTGCACAACACAATTCACATATGAAAGTCAAATGGACTTACCATAATGTACTGATAAGGATCTATACAGGACATTTTTGCTTCAGATCTTATATTCGGATGCACAACAAAGGTTCTTTATGTGTTCAACTTCACACTGGAGAAACCTTCAATGCGTTTTCAAAGTAGATTTTAGTATGTCAGTTTTATTTGTTCCTGCAAAATGGAGAAAGATTTGAAATTAAATATCACATTTTCCGTCTGAAATGTATTTTAAAGTAAATGAGACACCAGTTTTGAACAATGTTTCCAGAATTAAAATTTTAAATGAAGATAATTAAGAATGTAAAGATTTCAAAGTTATGGGGGCCACATAACCTTTCCCTGCATCTTGCTCTCTCTGAACAAGGGAAGAGCAAGGACATAGTATGTCCTTGTACCAAAAGGTGTAAATCACCTTAAAAGCAACAGAGAAGAAGTTAAGCAGAAGAAACTATCACCAGACTCCCACAGGCATTGTGTATTATGAAGGATTGTGTCTTCTGAAGTAGAAATGGTCAGCCAGGAGGAGGAGCTGAACAGGTAGCCAGCAGAATAGAAATATGTTTGTCACTTCTGGAACCTTTGTGGTAACAAGTGGGTCCTAGGACAGTGTTTCCCAACCTCTGGGTTGTGACACAAAACTGAGTTGCAAGAATATATGAAAGGGTACTGAACAAACTTTAAAAACAGATTCTTCTTTAAAGGAGAAATTCCAAGGAAACTATGGCTTTTCCCTTTAGGCTGGCAGGAAATACCCATCTCATTTGGGGTTTTGATGTAAAGCATTTGCTGGTAGTTTAACAGAACTGTTGATGAGCGTGGAATTGTTAGCTTTATGGGCCAAGTTTTTGTTTCTATATGCCTAAAAAATAATAAAATGAAGGAAACAACACAAAGAATGTATACATTAGGGTGGGGGGAAGGACCTTTCTGGTTTTCACCACATTTTTTTTCACCCTTGTCTTTTCACAGATTGCTGAAGCCTCATTTCTTCTGCATGGCTATCCAGGGTCTTGCTCTTGTTTTTTTTTTCCTGTCATGCTACTTATATT